AGCTGCTGGATGTTAGCGAGAGGGTGCAGCTGCTGCACTCACAGGTAAGATCTATTTTGCATTGGTTCATCTTTTTTTTTGCAGATTTATAGAGGAATTTTCAAAGTTATACCTTACATTTAAACAGAACACCAGCTTGCTAAACCAGAAGAAGAAGCTGGAGGGTGATTTATCTCAGCTTCAAACTGAGGTGGAGGAGGCAGTGCAGGAGTGCAGAAATGCTGAAGAGAAGGCCAAGAAGGCCATCACTGATGCTGCCATGATGGCAGAGGAGCTGAAGAAAGAGCAGGACACCAGCGCTCACCTGGAGCGTATGAAGAAGAACATGGAGCAAACCATCAAAGACCTGCAGCACCGTCTGGATGAAGCTGAGCAGATCGCCATGAAGGGAGGCAAGAAGCAGGTGCAGAAGCTCGAGGCCAGGGTAAGTTAACTTTCAGAGAGGACCGACCACTAACTTCTGTTCACAAAATTCAGTTTTTTTTTATTTTTTTATTCAACAACAGATAAGGGAACTGGAAAATGAGGTGGAGGCTGAACAAAAAAAATCCAGTGACTCTGTCAAGGGAATACGAAAATATGAGAGGCGCATCAAAGAGCTGACCTACCAGGTGAGTTTTATCATCTCCAATCTGACTGATCACAGCTAAATTATGATTATATGTTCCTTTCCTGTTTTAAACTGTCACAGTGCAATGAAATGAATAATAAAAAAGATATTCACGTAACAGATTTCATATTTTAAATAAAGTTGAAAACAGACACTAGACAGTGATTCTTTCCTAGATCTTTGTGGCATTAAATGAGACAATAATGCTCCTAAATTTAAACTGTTGTTAAGTTCCTCCAACACAGGTTGCAGGGATCAAGAACACCATGTCAAGCATTTATTTCTGGTCCAGTATTCTAGTCTGCCATCCATTTATAGTGTAAACTATGGTATAATCACAAAGTTTTATTCATCGATAATGTTCTTTTTCCTTTTCTGTTTCAGACTGAAGAGGATCGTAAAAATCTTGCCCGTCTACAAGATCTGGTGGACAAGCTGCAGCTAAAGGTCAAATCCTACAAGAAATCTGCAGAAGAGGCTGTAAGTGCTTCAATATATTGATTCACTGCATGTAAGGCAGTCAATAAAGCTTTGTGACCAAGTTAGGCAACGTGGTCAAAAACACAAACAAGCTTTAATAAAATGACTAAACCAAGAAAACATGACAGCAAAAATAACCCATACAAGTGTTATTTTTGTTGAAAATACAACATTAATTTTATTTCTCGTGATGCATGCTCAATAATCCAGGTAGAAACATCCAACAAAGTTCTTTGTGAAAAGAAATCGTCCATCATTAAACAGGGGTGGAGGCCTCCGGGTTCAACTGTCCCCGTCTTACAATGCTGTGATTGCTAGTATCACTCAGCCCTCTGTGAATAGTAAACAGCCATCAGTGTGCTAATGATCCATTGTTAGGCTGATGGTCCTTCTTGACCATGTGATCAGCTGGTTTTGGTTGTCAGCAGCAAACTGGTTGATCCACTCTGAGATGGTGCTATTTAAGAGACTGAGCTGAAAACAGCACCTCAGACTGAGGAAGTCTCTTGGATGAGAGACGAAACGTTTCTAGATTTTTTTGCTTTGTTTTTTGTTTTTTTGAATGTCCAGAGGACCAGATTGAACTTTGTTGGATTAATTTTATTTTATTTTCTAAAAGGTATTTTCTATTTTTTTTCTGTTTCACAGGAGGAGCAAGCCAACAATAATCTCACCAAATTCCGCAAGATTCAACATGAGCTTGACGAAGCTGAAGAGAGAGCTGACATTGCTGAGTCTCAGGTCAACAAGCTACGTGCCAAAAGCCGTGATGTTGGGTCAAAGGTCAGTTATAAAAGTCAAGTATATCATTACTGTTGCTAGAATAGGAGTGATTTCCTTTTTTTGAATGGAGCTCAGCGGGCCTGGCGGTCGGTCCAGATGGAGAGGTGTCTTGGCCTCAATCCCTGGGTGGACCTTGGGGGGCTCTTCATGAGGGGGTTGTTGGGTCAGTGGGGGAGCTGACTCCCTGTGGGAGCATTTGCTCTCACAGTTATTTCTCCCCATCCCTCACCATGCACCTCCACCCTCTTCATTTCAATTCCATACATTTAGGGTTGTTTGGGCTCGGGTGTGCTGCAACAATTTTACATCTTTGTTGACCATAGCCACCTGGGACTCAATTTTATTGTACACCTTAGACATTCATTCATAACATCCTCATGACATTCATATATAGGAATTTGAGGTGGGCACATGGCTATGGGTGGTGGGATGACCTTACTCTCACCCCCTGTGCCTGTGCTCACTTACAACGGTTGCATTTAGACACTAGGGTTTGGATAGAGTTGGGGTGGAGGGGAAACTGGCACCATGCCAGCCTTTGCTCCTTCTTCTTTCCTTTTTAATGGCACTATACAACAACACACATCAACAGCACATCTAGGGGCGGGGGTGTATGTGTCGGGGTCTTATTTTTATTTTTTTCCTACCCACCTAGTTCCCTGACTGCCATTCCGGGGGTGGGGTCCGGGAGAAGGGCAGGCCGTCGGGTGTTGACCAGGACTATGTGGGGGTTCAGGGTCTGGGGGTTGCCGTGGGCGGTGCTGGCGCTGTGCTCTCCCTGGGGTTGTTTGGACCCCTTGAGCTTGGCTCTTGGGTGCCATGGTTGGCCCGCTGGCCGGGGTGGCTGCCGGGGCCTGGCGGGCGGTCGGCTGGGGGTGCGTGCTTGGTTGTTGGCGGTGCGTGGGGGTGGTCGGTGGCGTGTCCTCTTCATGGTGGGGGGGTGTCCTGTCGGCGGGGCATGGCCTGGGCCGGGTCTGGGGTATTGGCTCTTCTCCGCTCAAGAATGAATGGGTTTACCTCCTGGGTTTGGGCATGGGCTGCCCCCTGTAGAGGGCGGGTACATGTCTTGGACCTGGGGGGTATAGAGTGCGTATCGGGAATAAGAATGAAATGTATCGTTATTGTATGTCTTTGAGTGAGTGAATGTGAGATTGAGGTTGGGATTGTGTGATTGTGTCTGTGTATGAATGGGTATTTGTTAGGCCGAGACTCGGACTGCCCCCTCTTTGATACAACTGGGGGTGCTTGGCATCGCGCCCCTATCGCGCGGCCCCCTGGTGGGGTGTGCCCTTGCCTGCTGGCGCGCTTGGGGCCCTTGGTATCGGGGGCTGGGCGCTTGGGCGTGTGTCGGCTCGGCCTGGTGTCTGCCTGGTGGGGCTCGGGTCCTCTGGCCCTGTCGGGCCTTGGCCTGGGTGGTGTGAGTCCTCGGTGCCCGGGCCTCGGTGCCTGGACCTGGACCTACATCGGTGCGGCGGGTTCCGACGGAGGCCTATGAGTTTGTCGCTGTTGGCCCCGGGGGCTCACTGTATGTGGTTGCTGGTGGGGATCTTCCGGTTCTCCCCTGTGGTCCGTTCTGGGGGGTGGGTGAGTGGTTCGTCCTGTGTGGGTGGCTCTGGGGGCTCCGCGGTCGGGGTCCCTCCTGGGGTCTTGGGCTCTGGTCCCCCCTTTTTCGTCTGCCTCTGGCCTTGGGGGTCGGGTCTCTGCTGCTTCACAGTTACTAATAAATGTTCTATTAGAGAAGCCTTATACACTTATGCATGCTCACAACCACACACAAATAGAAGCAGGGATGCTTATGTAGGCTTTATATGTAGATATATAGATATGTATGTGAGTGTATATTCATGTGTATGTATGTATGTATGTATGTATATATATAGGCGTAGGTATGGGTATATATATTTATGGAAACTTACTGCAAAGCCATGAATATTTTAAGTTCTTTATACATATGTATTTTGTTGCTGTGTTTTGTCATGTTCTTTGCAGGTGAACAGACAGTGGCCGGGTGTTTTGCCGTGTGCTCTCTTTGTGTATATTTCTTATATTTTGGAGTCTTACTTTGTCTTTTCTTTCTTTCTATCCTATTCAAAAAAATAAAAGAAAAAAACCTACACTAGATAGTCACTATAATAAATATTTCATAATAATGGTGTGGAGAGGATGGCTGTAAGGGGAGAAGGGAGGCCATCAAAAAAGGAGTGATTTTTTTTTTAGAATCTTTATAATGAATTTCAACAATGAATTGCAGCATTAACATTTTTCAATGCCATCAGTAAAATAGTGGAAAACATCTTCAAACTAAAACATGGGACATAAACTTATCGAGACTAAAAGAGTTGACTATATCCTAAGACATGTAGAGTAATTGATGCAAACTAATCTTTCATAGAACAGTTAAATATACATACTTCATTGTTCACTTATTTTTTTTGTTTTTTCCTCTTTAATTTCAGAAAGCACATGATGAAGAGTGAAGCACACGGAATGAGCCACTGTTTCTGAGGCACCTGATGTCTTTGCCTGGTGTCTCCTTATGCATGTAGGTTGTTTAGCACTTTGTAGAATAAAATGAATCTGCATCTCAAACTGGGTCTGGACTATTGATTGCTGCTTTTTGTGTGTGTGTAGTTCATTGGAATTAAAATAAATTATCAAGATAAAGGTGTCAGTAAAGCCAACAGTGTATCTTTTTTGCCTCTGAAAATATTACAACTCATATAGGACTTGGGAATTAGTTAAATTCAGAGTAACAAAAAAATCGAGTACGAATTGTGTAGATGTGAACATTTCTTTTTATATACAAGTAAAGAGTATTTTCAGGTATTTCGATTTACAAATATGTCTTAAAATAGTGCAGTAGAGTACCTACAGTACTATATATATATATATATATATATATAATTAAATTAGCTATCTTATTTTGCATAATGGGGCAGCACGGTGGCGCAACTGGTAGAGCTGCTGCCTCTCAGCGTGCAGGTCCTTGGTTCAAACCCCGGTCCAGGGGCCTTTCTGGGTGGAGTTTGCATGTTCTCTCCGTGCATGCGTGGGTTTTCTCCGGGTGCTCCGGTTTCCTCCCACAGTCCAAAAACATGCATGTTAGGCTGATTGGTAACTCTAAATTGTCCCTAGGTGTGAGTGAGAGAGTGAATGTTTGTTTGTCTCGTTTGTCTCTATGTTGCCCTGTGATGGACTTGCGACCCGTCCAGGGTGTACCCCGCCCCTCGCACAGTGATTGCTGGAAATGGGCACCAGCGACCCCCGTGACCCAAAATGGAATAAGCGGGTAAAGAAAATGGATGGATGGATGGATTTTGCATAATGAGCAGCACAGTGGCACAACTGGTAGAGCTGCTGCCTCTCAGCGAGCAGGAGGAGGTCCCTGGTTCAAACTCCAGTCCAGGGGCCTTCTGGGTGGAGTTTGCATGTTCTCTCCGTGCATGCATGGGTTTTCTCCGTGTGCTCCGGTTTCCTCCCACAGACCAAAAACATGCATGTTAGGCTGATTGGTAACTCTAAATTGTCTCTAGGTGTGAGTGAGAGAGTGAATGGTTGTTTGTCTCGTTTGTCTCTATGTGTCCCTGTGATGGACTTGCGACCCGTCCAGGGCGTACCCCGCCCCTCGCACAGTGATTGCTGGACATGGGCACCAGCGACCCCCGTGACCCAAACTGGAATAAGCGGGTAAAAATAAAGGATGGATGGATGGAAAATAGAACTGAATGAGTATGGTAAAATAAACATCTCAATATATTAGTGCATTCGAAAAGTATTCACAGCACTTCACTTTTTCCACATTTTGTTATGTTCATCCAACCATCCATCCATCCATCATCTTTACCCACTTCTTCCATTTCGGGTCACGGGGGTGCCCATGTCCAGCAGTCACTGTGTGAGAGATGGGATACAGTGGTCTCCAGTCCATCACAGGGACACATAAAGACAAACGAGACAAACAACCATTCACTCTCTCACTCACACCTAGGGACAATTTAGAGTTACCAATCAGCCTAACATGCATGTTTTTGGACTGTGGGAGGAAAACCAGAGAAACCACATGCATGCACGGAGAGAACATGCAAACACCACACAAAAAGGTTATGAGCCAGGATTTGAACCAGCAATCTTCTTGCTAAGAGGTGGCATCTCTACCAACTGTGCTAAAATTCTACACACAATGCCCCATTATGACAATGTGAAATTTTTTTTGCAAGTTTATTAAAAAGAAAAAACTAAGAAATCACATTTTTGTAGTCACAGCCTTTTTTATGAAGCTCAAAATTGAGCTCAGGTGCATACAGTTTCCACTGATTGTCCTTGAGATGTTTCTACAACAAAAATGGAGTCCACCTGTGGTAAATTCAGTTGATTGGACTTGATTTGGAAACACACACCTGTCTATAGAAGGTCTAACAGCTGACAGTGATGTCAGAGCACAAACACCAAGCATGAAGTCAAAGGAACTGTCTGTGGACTCAGAGACAGGATTGAGTTAAGGAACAAATCTGGGGAAGGATACAGAAAAAGTTCTGCTGCTTTGAAGGTTCCAGTGAACTTAGTGGCCTTCAACATTTGTAAATGGAAGAAGTTGGGTACCACCAGGACTCTTCCTGGAGCTGGTCGTCTAATCTGAGCTATCGGGGGAGGAGGGCCTTAGTCAGGGAGGTGACCAAGACCCTGATGGTCACTCTGTCAGAGCTCCAGTGTTCCTCTATAGAGAGAGGAGAACCTTCCAGAAGGATAACCATCTCTGCAGCAATCCACCACTCAGGCCTGTATGGTAGAGTGGTCAGACGAACGCCACTCCCTAATAAAAGGCACATGTCAGCCTGTCTGGAGTTTGACAAAAGGACCTGAAGGAGTCTCAGACCAGGAGAAACAAAACTCTCTGGTCTGATGACACAAAGATTGAACTCTTTGGTGTGAATACCAGGCGTCATGTTTGGAGGCAACCAGGTCATCACCAGAACCATCCCATCCCTACAGTGATGCATGGTGGTGGCAGCATCATGCTATGGGAATGATTTTCAGCAGCAGGAACAGACTAGTCAGGATTAAAGTAAAGATGAATGCAGCAATGATCAGAGACATCCTGGATGAAAACCTGCTCCAGAGCGCTCTGGACCTCAGACTGGGGAGACGGTTCATTTTTCAGAAGACAACGACCCAAACCAAATGGCCAAGATCTCAGAGGAGTGGGTTTAGGACCACTCTGTGAAGGTCCTGGAGGGGCCAAGCCAGAGTCCCGACTTGAATCAGATTTAACATCTCTGGGGAGATCTAAAAATGGCTGTACAAACATTTCCCATCCAACCTGATGGCACGTGAGAACTACAGCAAAGAAAAATAGGACAAACTGCTTAAAGATAGGTGTGCTCAGCTTTGAGGCATCATGTTAAAAAATAGTTGAGGCTGTAATTGCCGCCAAAGGTGGATAAACAAAGTATTAAACAAAGGCTGTGAATACTTAAGTAAATGTGATTTCTTAGTTTTCTATTTTTAATAATTAAAAAAAAAAACTCAAAAAATCTTTTTTCACATTGTCATAATGGGGTATTGTGTGTAGAATTTAGAGTAAATATTAACTGAATACAATTTGGAATTAAATTTCCATCCATCCATTATCTTTACTCGCTTCTCCCGCTTCTTCCTTTTCAGGTTGTGACGGACACTCGTGCCCATATATAGCAGTCACTGTCCAAGAGGCAGGGTACATCCTGGACAGGTTGCAAGTTCATATTCATATTCATATATATATATATTCATATTCATATATATATATATATATATATATATATATATATA